AATTAAGAGTGCTGCTCTTTGGGGTATGCGTCTCTTCATCGTTTACATTCGTTTTAGATTGTCGAGTTTACTGCTCTGTTTTGATTTTAAGTTTTGCTTCCATGAGCTATTATCAACATTTTTGGTTTTGTTATGTTTTAATTTCATATGGTTCTGGTTGGCATTTCCTCTACTTTCGTTGTCACTTGAGTAGTACATTTCCATAATCTGGTCTTCTTTTTGTCTCCCTCCCCCCCCCCCAAAAAAAACTACCAGGTGTTTTCCTTGCTGTCTCGTCCAACACCCGCTATCAAATCATCAATGGACTTGAACGCTTGGTAGAGGCATCGCCTTTGGCGAAACAGAACCCACTTGTTGCAATGGCTTTTACTGTCGGAGTACGATTTTCAAACAATGTTTATGGGGGGATGCAGTTCGTAGACTGGGCTAGATGGAGTGGGGTGCAGTAACTAATATGCTTTAGAGGGATAGGTTAGCTGGGGCAGATTTCAACTCTTGTGGTGAATGGCTTTTGCTTATCAGTTATACAAGCGCAAAATCTTCACCCCCAAAAAGTTTAGATCCCGTAGTAGTTTCGTCCTTGATGCTTTTGTGTAATTTGGAAAAAGCTGAGTAGAATGTCTTGTACTTTTCTATCGATAAACAAGATGCTGGATTTACAGGTAATTCGGACGTGAATGGTTCGAATTGGCAGCATGCAAGTACTTGCATTGCGAGTGCTGTGTTCCTGATGTAATAAAAAAGAAAAATTAGTATTCGGTCCTAGTTCTTACTGTTCATTGACTAAGACTTTGTTAGTTCTTAAATTTGATTCAAGTTCCTAGCAATAATGTGATAATTAATTTACATGTTTATTATATAATTTTTTAATATAAAAATTTGTAATTAATTTAGGGTTTAATACTCACACCTTTATTAAACTTCTAATTAATTTTCAATTCAAACATTTCCAAAATAATAAAAAATTAAATTAAATTAAGTTTGTACCTATTAGTTTTTTTAATATATAAAAAGATTCTCAATTTTTTAATCTTAAATGTACCCATTCATATAATTTTTCAATTTTTTTAATCTTAAATGTACCCATTCTCAAATATATCAATTTGTTATATGTAAAATGTACTCTCTTTTTTAATATAAAATCCATTCAAATTTTTTAATCCATGTTTAAACTTATATGGGTACGTTCTTTTTCGTTGATTTGAGAATGTATCCATGTTTTGGTACAATAACTTTTTTTGTTAATTTTGGTTAATGTACTCATACATATATGTACACACACACACACATACACACAATATAATAGAGAGTATAATTTATATTTTATTATTTTTAATTCCATAAATTATGGGTTTTATTTAAAATATCATTAATATAAGGGGAGTTTTGATATAGGCGCCTCGTTTTTTAATTTTTTAGACTAAACATACATTCCTTTTGAAAATTTGATTAAACATTTTCCTAAAATTTTGGTTATTAATTTCAGCTTTTTCACATAAGTTCAATTTTGTTTAGAATTTTAGTTTTTCACAACTTCTCCTGGGCATTTCATTTTTTTTTTCTTTTCCTATTATCCCTATATTTATGCATTTATTATCCATCTCTATGCATTTTTTTATTGTTTGTTATAATTTTTACTTTTTTGTGTGAATATAGTACAATATTTACAACAAAAAAATTGTTAGATTTTATTATTTAGAAGATCCAACACATAATAAATATTTGTTTGATTATATAGCTACGTCTAGTTACCTATAATATGGACACATTTAGTTTTATAGTTGATTTGATTTTTTGTATTTCTCGGTACATTTGGAATGTAAATGTACCAAAAGGGTTATCTAATAGAGACATTTGATTTTGTGGTACATTTGGGATTTTTTGTTCATTTGGTCTTTTGGTACATTTGAAATCTAAACGTACCAAAAATGTTACTTGACAATGGGTACATTTGGATTTATGGTACATTTGAAATTTTGGTACATTTGATTTCTCTATATATTTGAAATCTAAATGTACCAAAAGGGTTACATAATAATGGGTACATTTGGTTTTATGGTACATTTGGTTTCTCGGTACATTTGAAATCTAAACATACCAATAGTTGATACTTTTGTTTTCAAATGTACCATAAGTTTTAAGTATATTTTTTATATATCTATACGTGAAAAAAATATGTATTGAAGATTTTTATTGAGACATTTTTAATAGAAAGATATATTTTTTTTAAATACTGATAATAAGGAAATGAGGAATTAGTTAATTAATTTTTTATTTTATTTTATTAAAAAAAATATCATTTAATGTGTAGAAGAGGATTGACGAAATTAAATTCCTATATTATAGGCAATTAGTTGCTAAGCTACCTTATACCTCTATATAAATGCATTTAAATTAAGGAAAATTAATGATATGGAAATTAAATAAATAGAAAATTATTGAGGTGGCAATTGATCAAAGCACCTTAATCAAATCTTTAAAAGGGATGCATGTTTAATCTAACAACTATAGAAAAGATGTAGGGCATTCTAATTTTCCCTTATATAAACAATTTTTTGTTAATTTTGGTTAATGTACCCATACATATATCTATACACACACACACAATATAATAGAGTATAATTTATATTTTATTATTTTTAATCCCATAAATTATGGGTTTTATTTAAAATCTCATTAATATAAACAATTACAAATTTCAATTTTTAATTTTTAATTTAAAAAATATAGTAACTTACATTATTATATTAATGTCAAGAACCTCAATAAAAAACTAAAAACTAACAAAATTTCAATCAAAGAATATTAATAGTTAGGGATCGCATCAAAGGGTCCCTAATAAAAATGTTGGCTCCTTTTCATTTGTTCTTCCTCAATGTCTCTTTTTCTTTCCATGCAAGTATTCCCTCAATTAGCTCGTAAGTCTGCGCAGAAAAGGAGTTCATGGGTTCGAATGTCACTCTAGAAAAATGCAGCTTTGTCTAGATTGATGCGAAGTCACGAAAAGGTTTTGGTTGATTTACACTCTAAATTTGTACGTCGTTAGTTTTCATCACGAGATTTTACTTCAGCCAATTACCTCTTTGAACTTTATGAATAGACAATCACCTCTCAACCATTAGATTGCCCAACATTTCAAAAATAATTTTGTCCATATTTGTCACGTGGACTCGCTTAAAAGGGTAAAAACATCATTTTGCTACACTTGGATGAGAGTGATGGGCAATGGTTATGCGGGCGGGTAACCGCGGTTAATTTACCCATAACCGTTTATGCTCATACCCGCATAACCGTTTACCCGTTGGGTAATTGCCTAAACAGTTATACCCATACCCATAACCATTTATAAACGGTTAACCATATTCATAACCGCATACCCATTTAACCGTAATCGTTTAATACCCGTTTACCCATTTATTCTTTTTAACCCGTTTATCTTTTTTTTTTACCATTACCCTTTTTTCACCTGTCTACATGTTTTTTAACAACTTGAAAATTAAAAAAAAATTGTCATAATTTTTTTTTGACAATTAAACACCGTTATAGGTACATTCATCATACATTTCCATATTTTAATTTTTTAAGTCCTTATACCATTCTAATAATTGAAATAATAGTTTACGGATGATATTTTTAACTGTTACCAATGAAGGTAAATATAATATTTGCTAAGTATTATTGAGTTACAAAAATTGTTTAGAAGACATTTCTATCAAAGCATTTCTGTCAATTTCACAGTTACCCACAAAGAATTTAAATTAATTTGGTCAATTCCTTGATGATGAGAATCATCATTCCTGTAGTAGTGTTATTGAGAGAATGACCGATGAAATCCTTGCTAATTTATTGGGTGCTAAGTATTATTGGATCGAGAACATGGTTTGTGTTAGTTTTACATATATAAAATAAATGGGTAAACGGTTACCCGTTTATAACCGTGGTTAATACCCATAACCGCCCATTTAAATTTCGCGGGTAAACGGTTATACCCATAACCGTTTATTTATCTAAACGGTTACCCATAACCGTAACCATTTAATTTAAATAGGCGGGTAAACGCAGTTACCCATAACCAATGGGTATTTGCCCATCCCTAGATGAGACACGACTTAAAATGTTTATAGCCTCTTAAGTGGCTTTTATGAGTTGTCCAAGTCACAAACATGAACGGAATAATGGATGACAAACTTGAAAGTCAAGGATGGAGTTGGCTATTTATAAAAGTTTGATTGACAATGAATTATACATTCAACGAGCAAACAACCAAAATTTCTTTAAAAGTAGATCAATATTTTGAAGATAAAAAAATAAAGACGACCGTTATTTTTATAAGACATACTGGGGGAGGAAGAATCAAACGCAGAGCCTTGGTTTAAGGGTTAACCGTATAAAACTGTTGTTAACGACTCGAGCTTAGAGCCTTAAGGGGGTGTATTCAATTGAGTTTTTAAGGAATTTTAATTCTTTTAATGAATCTAGGGGTATTCAATCATGATTTTAAGTGATTCTCTGAAATTCTAGGTGTATTCAATTAGAATTTTAAGATAGTTTATTAAAATCCTTAGAAATCTAGGTGTATTCAATTAAGATTTTAAAGAAGTTTATAACATTCCAGGTGTATTCAATTAGAAATTGATTTTAAAGAATTTGAGAAAGTTGAGGAATTATAGGGAATTGGAGAGATTTCGTAGTGTATTTTAAGCATACATAAATCTCATCTCATCCTATTAGATTTCGAGGGAATTGAATCAAAATTTTATATGGAATCTCTACAAATCAATTAAACTCTATAAAAATCCATAGATTTATAAATCCATTAAAACCTCTCACATTTGTTAAAAGAGAAAAACAAGGTGGAAATATTGACATGGTACGGTTTCATTTGTTATGTGTGAGTGTTGTAGTTCCGGGTTTACTCCCCCCATCATTGGAGAAATTTGTTAAGATAAGTCATCAATTACATGGTCTCTGCATTTTCCCTTATTTCATGAACAAATCAGTTATAAATAGAAAATTTATTACCCGCAGGATTCGCAGGCAGCAACATATAAGTGTTGGTGTGAGTTGTCAGTCGAACAAACCATAACTTACAGAGACCACCACAATATATGCAACAAAGATTGAGAACGAGACAGATCAAGACAAGGGAGGGGGAGAACAAGTCACCGGAAAGCGATGGAGCATGCAGCGCATTCTCCATCTGAAGGGCTAGAGAGTCAATCCCTTCCTCAGAAAAGACCGGTTGGAGGATGGAGAGCCGTCAGATACATTCTCGGTATGTTCATGGTCTTAGCTTTCTTATCAATGGGGTGGATTAGGCCAGTACTGATGTGTTTTGATTCGTGTTCCCTTTTTGTCCGAAGGGAATGAGACGTTCGAGAAGTTGGCTTCCATGAGTTTGATTGCGAATCTGGTGGTGTATCTGCACACAAAGTACAACTTGGACAATGTGGTTTCAGCTAATGTGTTCAATATATGGTCTGGTTCATGCAACATTGCACCACTGTTTGGTGCTTTTCTTGCTGATAGGTATTTGGGAAAGTTTAATACTCTTCTTTTCAGCTCGATAGCATCACTTCTGGTAAGAGTCTGTAAATTAGTTCACAAGAATTTTCATTGCGTAAATTTTTATGAAGATTCTACAAACACTTCTTGTTTCAATTTGACAGGGAATGGGGACCCTGACCTTAACCGCAGGCATACATAAATTAACTCCGTCTGCCTGCATCGCACAAACTGCAGAATGCCAACAGCCGAGTACTTGGCAGATAGCGATCCTGTATTTGGGTCTCGCGTTGCTTGTTGTTGGATCCGGAGGCCTTAGACCATGCAACATTGCCTTTGGAGCTGATCAGTTTGACACCACAACGGAGAAGGGAAGAGCGCAGCTCGATAGCTTTTGCAATTTGTGGTACCTCTTGTTCACTCTAGCCCTCCTCATCGCTCTCACCATCGTGGTTTACATTCAGACGAATGTCAGCTGGATTTTGGGTTTTGCTGTCCCAACTGGCTGCTTTGCTCTCTCCATTATAATTTTCTTGCTGGGAACAAGGTTGTACGTGCGCGTAAAGCCCCAAGGAAGCATCTTTGCCGACATTATCAAGGTTCTAGTTGCCACCTGCAGAAAATGTGGTTCGAAATCTAATGCTGGAGAAACTTCAGGGCAGTCATACTATGATCCTCTGGTTGGATCAGAGTCAGAGAGAGAAAGAGCAGCGCGTACCAACAAACTCAAGTTCTTCGATAAGGCTGCTATGATCGTAGACCCGAGCGAATTGGACAGCCAAGGGAAGCCCAAAAACAGTTGGAAATTATGCAGTGTGCAACAAGTGGAGCAACTAAAATCTGTGGTGAGGATTTTGCCTGTTTGGATAACTGGAATTGTTTGTTTCGTAGGCATGCAGCAAATGAATTCATTCGGGATCTTTCAAGCGATTCAAATGAACAAATCGATTGGCCCCAAATTCCAGATTCCACCAGCCTGGATGGGCCTAACACCGATGATTGCACTTTCGATATGGATCATCATCTACGAGAGCATCTACGTTCCTCAAATGCAGAAACGGAGCAAGAACGAAACTGGAAGATTGACAATGGAGCAGAGGTTTAAGATTGGTATTGTGATCTCAGTTCTGTGCATGGTAGTGGCTGGACTTACAGAAATGAAGCGCCGCGACTCAGCTTTGGCACACGGGACCCTCGAGTCACCAATAACCGTTGCCTTGCTCGTGCCGCAGTTCGCCTTATCGGGTCTGATTGAAGCCTTTGCTGCAATTGCCTTGATGGAGCTGCTCACCACTCAATGGCCTCAGAGCATGAGGACTTTCGCCGGGGCGGTTTTCTTCCTCAGCTTGTCCATTGCAAGCTACCTAACCACCATTCTCATCAACGTCGTCAAAAAATTGAGCGGACTGAACGGAAATTCATCATGGTTGGGAGGTAATGACCTCAACAAAAACAGACTTGATTACTACTATTACACGATAGCCGCCTTCGGGGTCTTAAATTTCGTGTATTTCCATTTCTTCGCTCGCCATTATCTGTCCGACGACGTTGCTCAACACTCCGAAAAGCCGTCCGACTGTGACTCCTCAGGCAATGGAAAAGGGTTGTAGTCTTGTAGACAACAGACATTGTACCATACAACGAAAAGGGCTGTTGGTTTTCTTACCAAAATGCCAGACACGAAACGAAAGCTTAGCCTTTAGGATGTTTTTTATGCTCCGATGTCGGATAATGTGTAGCTCTAACGTGTTTGACGTGAGACAGAATGACTAATGTGAAACACGGAACACAATTGGAGTACCAAAAAATTATAAATTGAACTGAATGGTTAAAGTGAAACACGAGAACAAGTTCAGGACCGCTACTGTTATTAATCCGTGTGTATGAAATCCATACGGGGGGTCCCAGAAATCAGAGTGGCTTTAGCCACCTAGGCTGCCACCATAGGAACAGCTCATCTCCGTGAGGATGGAGCCTGCACTTCATTGAGATAGGGCCCCATGTTCCCCCCTGGTCCAACCAGTGTTAGGCTACTAGTGCTAGCTATAGCCCCGGGCTTTTGCATTCCTTTGGAGTGAGGCCTACAAGAGTCCATGAGTTTATTTTTACTTTATTAATTTTATTTAATTTTATTTAATTGTTTACAGGCTTGTAGCTCGGTTAATCCAAAGCATATAATTTGTTTATTTAATGTTTTCCTCTTTTATTGTCGTTTGAATTAAAGAAAAAAATTGCAACTTATTGTTACTCTTAGATCAATGAATTAATGAAATTATAGAGAACAAATTAAAATTCAAGGGAAACTAGGAGACCTGAATAAACCAATGAAAATGAATGTTACTCCAAATAAAATTGTCTCCTAGTAAAGGTGGGTTTTGCACTTAAAATTCAAGGGAAACGACATTGAGTGCTATCTATGTAGCTCCACACCGGAATTGGATCCTCGCCGGAACTAATTCATGGGGATCTTAGGAATCAACTCATATGGACCGTTGATAAAAAAATTTGCGGTCATAATTTTTTTCTTTTTTATATTTTTCACGCAAAACGAAATTATTTTACTTTTAAAACATTTAATTGTGACCGCACAATTTTTGATCAACGGCTCACGTTGGTTGATTCCTAGGATCCTCAGCAATTAGATCCGAGGATCCAATTCCCTCCACACCATTCTGGCCAACTGGATTTGATCTCACATATTTCTTATTTTCTTTATTTACACGAGGCAAAAGGCTGACTAGGCTACGTGTTATGTTTCTGAGGCTTCGCTTGCAACGGCTATTTTCACTGCCATACTTTTCCCGCGCAGTCTCTGTATATATTTATATATACACATATATATATATCTGTCTCTGTCTCTGCACCAACCGTACACCACCAGAGGCCCCTTCCTCTCAAATTTCTAAAACCCAGAAGATTCAACCTTTCAACATTTGGAATTTGAAACCATAAAACCCCAAATCCCAAGAATCCGACCCCAATTACCCAAAAACCATGACCAAGATCGACACCCTCCGTCGATTTCTCCTCCCCTGCTTGTCCCCCTCCTCCGCCAAATCCACCCACTCCGCCGCCGCCGCCCCCAAGAAGCGCCTCAGCACCTCCTTGCGCGACGACCTGGACGACATCAACGCCGCCGCCACCAAAAGCTTAGACCCCAAGGACCAAGATTCACAATCTTCCACCTCGCCCACCCAAAACGACGGCGTGGCGATTCCGGCCCAGCAGACCCGCCCCTCCAAATCCATGGTCATCGGCACAATCTTCGGCCACCGCCGCGGCCACGTGTGGTTGTGCATCCAGCACGACCGCCTCTCCACCAAACCCACCCTCCTCCTCGAGCTCTCGGTCTCGACCTACCAGCTAGTCAACGAGATGCGATTCGGGCTCGTCCGCGTGACCCTCGAGTGCGACGAGTCGGACCGGCCCCAGCTCGCTGATTGCCCGCTCCGATCCGTCCCCATTTGGACCGTTCACTGCAACGGCCGCAAACTCGGGTCCGCGGCAAGAAGAAAAGCGAGCGAGAAGGTGAAATTGATGCTGAAGATGATGCAGTCGACGACGGTCGGAGCCGGGGTAATGCCGGCAGGGTTCGCGCTCGGGTCGGAGGCGGAGTCGGGTCAGGAAGTAATGTACATGAGGGCGAATTATGAGCACGTGGTGGGGAGCGCTGACTCGGAGTCGTTTCATCTGATTAACCCGGATCAGTGCCCGGGTCAAGAACTCAGTGTCTTCCTTCTCCGGTCCAGGCACTCTTGAATCTGTGAGCAAAGATTCAAAGACCACAGTTTTATTTAATTCCGTGAGCAAAGATTCAAAGGCCACAGTCTCTTTTGAAATGAGTGGGAATTTGAAAACTAGGTGTTTTCTGGAGCTTTAGGATTTGGGGATTTTCTTGGAAGAGAAATTATATTTTTCGTAGAAGTTGGTAATTATGTTTTTGTGCAGATTGATTAGGTTTTTTTAGGGCTAGCTTAGCTGAATCCCACAATATCAACTGTACATTGTGTATCATCTCAGAGGTGATCAACAGATTAATCGAAATCGTGATGAAATTTCATATCATTTCTCAGTTTTGCACCTTCTATGTGAATTTGAGTGCGTACGGATTTTATTTTTGTTCTGGTTTCGGATACTATTACTAAGGGGACGAGTGAGGAGAGAACCTTACATGAAACGGAGATGCGTGATTGATTTGAATAGTTCCATATGGCGTTCCCGTTTCATGTAAATCCTTCATAGGGAAGAACAAACTCCGATTACAGGTCATGTTTTTACTAGTATGTACCTTTTGGGATTTCAAATTTTCAAAGAATTTGGTCATTCTATGTACCATTTGCAACCTAGCTAAAAAAATGAACCAAGCAAGAAGCCGCCTGCCACTTGTGGAAGTAACTAGTTGAGCTACCCACACAGATATTTTCTCTACAAACTTCCAAATTGTTGATCGCGACCCTTTGTCCTGGCTACTAAAGCACGAGTTCGTTATTATGGGTAGTTCCTACAAAGGATAGGACTAATGACGTATACAATACCTGAATTCTCGATATAGGAAGCTACATAGTTGGTTCTCATCCTTCAGATACTACGGGACAAAAAGTGAATTTATTGAGCAAATCAAACTTATTCAATTTCATCGAACTTTAAACCTCCACCACTTAATCCAATCCTTATTTCTTTACTGTTTGCACTATATATCGATATTTAGAAGCTTCTGCAGAGAAGCCATATCTTCGTCGCCATTGCCGACAAAGATGCTGGAAGGAAAAGCTGAGGTGCGGGAAACAGATATGCCAGATGACATGCAGAGCCATGCCATGGAGTTGGCTTACAAGGCTCTTGATCTCCATGAAGTTTCTGATTTCCGATCCGTTGCTCACTATATCAAACAGGTTCGATTATATTTATCCACAAAGCTTTTTGGTTCGAGTTATATTCTAATTTGATATAAACCAAACTACGGAGAGGACAACTGCGTGCAGAAGAGATGAGTACGCTCTTAAGCCCGGGTCCGGGTCTACACCGGAAAATTAAATAATATTCACTTGTTGATTACGTAAGATATTCTTCTTAAACAGCAGAAAAGAAGGATTGCAAAGTGGTTTTTTGATTGTCATCATATCTAATTATGTGATTAAGTTTTAAATTGTCACTAGGCAACCGAGATTAATTATGTGATTAAAAGGATTCAAACGCTAACTTTTGCAGCAAGGCATAGTGGCAGTGATTATTCCGAAAGGGGTATAACTTCCTTTCTGTTAGGAGAAAAAGCTTAATCTTTTTAGTTAAGCTAATTAATTAAAAAGGTTCTGGATGCTATAGGTTTGATTTGGTGTGCTACTTTTTTCCTATTTGTGTTCTGGTTTGAATAGGATATTAGGTTTTGCTTTAGAGCTGAATCTCACGTGTGAAAGCTAAAAGCATATATTCCCCCTTCTACTTTATTACACTTCCCCAATTATGCGGGTAATATGTATGAAGGAACTCCGACCACGTTATTTGTAGGGCATCTTTGACGAAAACATGCGGTTTTCGACATTTAATCCCTCATGACCACACACAATGGTCACACCTGGTGAGAGAGTTGTCATAGTCAAACAGCCTACCGAAGGGAGTTAAAGTGGCAAACCGGAAGTTTTCTGCTAACGGAACTGAGTTTTTATCTTATGTGCTACATTGTTTGTGAATTCTAGCTTATAACACTTGGTTCTGCTAAACAGAAATTTGATGAAGCATATGGCACTGCCTGGCACTGTGTAGTGGGCAAAAACTTTGGGTCCTGCATCACACATTTGAGTGGAAGTTTCATTTTCTTCCATGTGGAGACGACGGAGTTCCTCGTGTTCAAGGATTGCAAAAACTCCACTGAAAGCAGGGAAGAAGGTATTGGAGTGTTGCAGATTGAAAGCCCAGAAAGTGATGCATAAGATCAACTACTACCAAGGCAAGCTGGAACTCGGCAAACGCTAGTTGTTTTTCGATTCTCGAACGAAATCAAATCTTATCGAACTAGTAAGTCCAAATAACAATGGTCACTTTCATGCCACAGCTATTTTAGTGTTGAGCTACAGCCGGCGGCACGAATCATATGCCTTGCCAGTTGCCATTCTATTTGTTTTTTGTTTTTTGTCTTCTCAGTTTATGGATTCAGATACAGGAAAATTATTCCATTCTGGTACCTTAACAAAAATTTGATTTAAAAATTGTTATGTACCGCGATTCCTTTTCGTGTAGATACAGTAGATATGACCAACATTTCAAGCATGTTTCATGTCATAAACGTCAAGCATGATTTTTTTATCGTAAATGGTTTTTAAAATTGACATAACTCATCTTTTTTGTCCTTAAATTGAAAATTAATCAACTGTGTTTTTTGTATTTTTTGAAGTGAGGTCAGATATTCATTGAATAGAGAAATACGTACAAAACTGAGGATAGGCGCTAACAGTGGGCCTCAATAAAAACCTTGCCGGGGTTTCAACCTGATCGAAGGAAAAAAAGAGTATCTCACACCAACAACTTAACTACTAATACTATTCTCCAATGAAAGATAAAAAAATTATATCAGGAGGTTCCTCGAACCAAGAAACCGGATGATCGACAGTTAAACTAAATCTTGCTAGGCGGTGAGCCATCTTATTCTCTTCTCGTCGGCCAAAGGAAACTTTCCATTGCGTGAAACTCTGTAAAATCCGGCGTGTATCAGCAAAGAGATGTCCAAAAGGTCCATTATGAGTTGTTCCTCTGTTTTGGATTGCAGAAATCACCATGAAGGCATCACCTTCCACCTTCACCTGCTCTGTCCAATTCCAATTTTGATTTCTTTGTCCAATTTTGTTAAATTTTCTGTTAGTTGGTTGATGTGGCATGATATGAGGGCCACATAACCAATGGTGTCTGCTATAGTGGTTGTTATTCTTTAATTTTCATTTAGTAATTTAGGTATTTAAATATTAGAATCGTTTAAATTTTTTTTTTTTTTAGTCCATGTGGTGAAACATGAGTGGTATTGTGGATCCCACATTATGCCACATTAACCAAGTGGCGTGAAAAATCGATCCGAAGCCGAAAACTAAATCGACCAGAATTCTTTAGGTTCGGTTTCAATTTTAAATGTTTTGGAAACTAAACCGAGCCGAATCAAAACTCTTTAAATGACGCCGTTTTATGTTTAACATTTGCGAAGGAGCATGCTCTGAAGAACGGACCAATTGTGAGTTATTTCTCCACTGGTTGCCTTGACTTGTTTTTTTGGAAGTTCTTTGTGCAAACTATGGCAACATGATTTGCTTTACTGTCAGGACAATCAAAACATCTGCTCCATTGTTTTAGTTTATAGTCCCACATACAGAAAAAATACCTGATTGGTGGTATAAGTTTGGGTTACAGTTGCGTGGACTCCAGTACTTTGTTGGGTAATCAATGCAATTTCTACTTGAAGAGTTGCCTTTTCAGCATTCTTACACCCTTTGTGGAAGAAAGATACAGTGCTTGAAAATGATTCTAATGAGTTTATTTTTTACTTGAAGTTTGACATTTTTTAATTTTGTAATGTTTATTTTAGACTTTAAAATTTGAATTTTTATTAGTTGAACACAGCACTGACTTCGGCCAGGTTCTTCCATCAATCCCCTTCTGCTTGCTCTGCCCCTGTTTCTTAAATGATTTGTGAGTGTTGAAGTTGAAGATTTAAGTTCCCCAAATCTCTATAGTTTTTTCCTTCTTTTTCTTTTCAAATGACTAATTTCAGATTTTAAACAAAATAATCCGAACCGTACCAAAATTAAACGAAATAGAAACCGGAAAGAAAAAAAACTGAACCAAACAATACTTTCAATTTGTTTTTTGATTTCGACAAAAGACGAACCAATTGAAACCAAACCCATCCCTACAACTAACAAAAAATTCAATAGAATTTGACAACAGTGACTACATTAAATGTTAGATCAATTTCATCGATTTTCAATTTTTGATACCAAAATGATGAGCTAGATCAATTTCAAAGACCAATTGTGATAAAAACCATACTCTTATTAGAGAAATTAATAGTGTTGATCAAATTAATTGATTCCACGCAATTGGCCCTCTACCATAGGTGGAGAGAAGTGTTGCCTTTACACCATGGTGTAGGTTAGAATTCCGTCAGTTCACTAATATAGAATCTAATCTAATAAATTTATCGTTTGAAAAAAACAAAATTTAAAAATTACCCGATTCCACAAAATCGCATCATCATTTGATAATTGCCGCAAACAGAAAAGTTGATGAGCACTTGAGCAGCAATCCCTCCTCTGCAGTAAGCTAGAAGCACCTCGGCGGGCAAATGATAGAGCTCCTGCTCAGTCGAATTGCAAACAACATAAAAGAATCATCTGAACAATATTGTAAGGAATATGATCTGAAAATACATAAAAAGACCAAGAATATAAAAGAATCAAAACATGCGTCAAGTAGTAGCCTCATGAGCTTAACAAGTCTTGTTGCATTGGCGGTGAGGACAAGGTAATCTGCATCCCAAGGACTAGATACAACAGTTACGTGTGTGCTGATCTAAACCTCAGGATGCAGATTACCCAATCCTAACCCAATATCTAGTCATCGATTCTATGGAGAAGACGGAGATGACGGAGAAGAAAGTAAATGTAGTTCAAAGGAGAAGCTGGTTGGTAGCAAGGAGGTGTGAGGACAATCTGCATGATGGACTTCTGTATTTATAGTGCTTCTTAAAGTGAGCAGATATATATTCTGTATATTTATAGGTTAAAATTTATATATACTAAGTACTGGTTTGATACTTATGTACTTTTATAAAAAGTGGTTATCAAAAAAAGCTAAGCTCAAAAAGGTGTTTGATAAACACTTAAAAGCCGTTTACTTTCACAGTTTTGGATTAAAAAAGTTAAAAACGCGAAGCAACAAAAATGAGTTTATTCTCACAACACAGCAAAAGTAGTTTTTTTTCAAAGCACAGCAATACTAAACTAGTCCTAAAGCCCTACGGAAATGGCCCCCCCCCCCGCCTTTATGTTCTTTCCCGTTATCATTTTCGGACTTAACAGTGGAATTACTAATTTGCCCTTTCATTATTCAGCTGTTGTTCTCTCATTTTGACAGCAAGTACCACCCACCGTTGTTGCGTTTACCTTCTATGTTCCTCCCTCTTGCTTAATCCACTACTACTTTGATTCATGTTTAGTTCCCTCAACCAAAGAACCACAAACCTGTTTCTCGAACTCTCTCCCGCAGCGGAACCACCGCCATCACCAGGTGGCGCATCAGCTCTTTGCCTCTGAGTATATTTGCATTGTACCATGAGAGGATTTGCCAGTCTCTGCTCTAAGTGCAGGTAATTTGTTAGCCCTCTTAGATTTTACTTACCAAGTTTTAATTTTTCAACCATTTTTAAGTTGTGATTTTTTCAATTATGTGTTTTATGGTGTTTGAGTTTGGAGACTTTGGACCCGGGTACTTCTAGATATTGACTAGTATAAGAAGGGTAGTATGGTCCAAAGGTAAAATGGTGCTGATATGGCAAACTGTTAAGTAAGGCAGTTGGTATATTTGGTAGTTAGTTAGAATTTGTGGGAAGATTAGTTAAAACTGTTAGTGCTAGTAGCTTAAGAGATAAGGCAGCCACTGTGCTATATTAGTTAGAATTCGAGCAATACAGAAACTCATCTCTTTGCAATTCTCTTTCTTTCTCTCTAAGTGTTCTGCTTTTCTTCGATTCTCTGTGAACTGTTATCATGGTATCAAGAGCGAGGCCGATTCTCGAACTCAATTCCGCTGTGCGACTCCTTGCGATCGATTGAAGTTTGATGGTGGTTGAAGTTTCTTGGGGTTTTTCTGCTCAAGGGTCCATATTTCCATTTGTATCATGTTCTTTCTTTTTGATTCCACAGTGCACACCATCGGTTTGCTTAAATGCCGCAGTGAAAATTTGTTTCTTCGATGTGGTTTCTTGTATGCAAGTTTCTCTGTTAAGACCGATAGCCATTTTCTGCGAGATTGTTGAAGGAATACAAAGGCCGATAGCCATTCCTTTCTGTTGCTTGATTAGTTCTTGGTTATTTGAAATTTGTGCACTCGAAAAAGGCCGATTGCCAAGAGTGTGTTGAATGCAATTTGTTTCCTCCATAAGGCCGATAGCCGGAGTGAAAAGTTCTATCTCAAATATTGTGTGTTACTCCTTAAAGGCCGATAGCCGGAGTAACGTTCTTGAAAAGTTTTGTTTGTTGTTATTGTGTGCAACTCCATTAAGGCCGATTGCTGGAGTGCAGTTCTTGTTCACTTTCTTCATTGAAGGCCGATTGCCGAAAAGGGGTGTGTTTCTTGATTTCTGTTAATAATGAAAAAGGCTCACTTACTGTCAAGGGAAACTGCACGCAAATTGAGGGAAAGGTCAAAATTGTTTCACAAGCCACCTCTGTTGTCGCCTTCTAGAGGTGGCAGTGCCAATCCAAGTGTGCGGACACTCTCCCCTGCTGCTCAGAAGTTTGTAAGAAATGCAATGGACAAGTCCTCATCTTCTATTGATGAAACTCTTCGTGCCAGTTACCGAGGTTCAAGTCCAGGGTTTACTACTCCTAAAGGTGAAAGGAGTGTGTCGAGGCTTGGAAGCCATGCTAGTATCGTATTGAGATCACCTATATGTCTCAATATTGTTTCTACTTCTCAGTGTTTCAATATATTTCTATTTAATTGATTAAATTTGCGTCTTTACAGTTTTAAAAGGAAGTTCCAAAGTGTTTCCGAATGCAGGACAAGAGAAGAATGTGATGAGCCCTAAGTTCAGTGAAGTAAGAAATTAAATCCTGAGAAGTAAAGCATGTGAATCATTTTTGTTGTACATAGGTTGTTAATATAAAGTTAGTATAATCAGGTGCAAATTGATGATGGGCAAAATTTATTTACTCTGTGATTTGTACTTAGAAAGCTGCCATTTTAGTTGTACATAATCTCTTAATGTATAGAACATACATGCAAAGTGAAGACTTATTTCTACCATTTGGGTTCAACTACTTTGATTGGTTTCTAAATTATTTGGAGATGGGTGTTTTAAATTGTGGGTATGATTTCAAAACCCACAGCAAAACGCGGGCATCTTTGCTTGTATACACTGGAGCTCCATGATAGGGCCTCACAAAAAGATGTTCGTCTATAACCAATGATAGGTTAGGGACAGAATTAACCTTTCAAAGGAATTGATGTTTCTTCCTTGACTGCTTTTT